TGGCATTCAACATTGTAGTGATGGCCATGCTCCATAGCTCCATATCATCATAAAGGTGGCACAGAAGTTAGATACCAGGTGTTGTACCCTAGAACGTAGGCTAAGTCAAGAAAGACTGAGGTTGGATCAAAGAATCAATTCTACATGGAAGTCATGTAGAAGAAAGTTTAAAGGAATTCAGTTTTTGTAGAGGAATCATAAATAGGAAAAGTACAGGGACATCTGGAAACCAGAAAAAGCTGATAGGAAGAATTAATTAGTGGTAATTCATAACTGAGTAAATGGAAAAATAATTTCCTTAATTTTAACTCCATTTTCCTTTTTCATAAGATACAGAAACCACCATACTTCTCTTGAGAACTATCAGTTGGCATTAATGACATTAGTATATATTAAGCTGTTAGCTTTCAGTATGCAATATGTGCCTCAGTCCATACAACTACTGAGCCACAACTTGCACATTAGAAAGTTATTTGTTTAGAATGCCTTTTGTAATTTAGTGGAAGTAATAGCATGCTGTGTGTGCATTTGGGGATATTTTTAGACTCTAATTTAAGTAATAAGAATTATCTTAAACTTTCTAAGATTTCACTATCTTAGAACAAACATGGCAGAGAATGTGATAGAAGAGGATTACTTTGTGTGGAGTACTAATAGGGCTGTAAATAGTAAAGGGTTAAGGGTAGAGAGAATTGTCAAGTAAAATACCTTGTTCTGTTATATAATTAATAAAAGACTGGCTCATTATAGCTCCAGAATCCTTTACTTTCTTGGAACATTATAAATCTTTTTTGAATAAATACATTCTGTTGTTGTTTTACAATAGATTTATAAAATACTTTTAAAAGAAATGGAATGCTTTCCATTACACATTAATGTTAAAAAGCAAACTATAAAATCCTGAGTGCTATTTTCTTTACTAATTATAATTTCTATTAAAAAGTTTAACAGGCTCAACTGATCAACTTTTGCCACATATAATTCCCTTTCCTCCTTCCTTCCTTCCTCCCTTCTATTCAATAAATAGATAAATAGAGAATAAAATCCCATCATTATCTATCTAATGCAAAATTTTTTTTCTTTTCTTTCCCAGAACTGTTTTAAAATATCTTTTTTTTCTGTTCTTCTGTTTTTAAAAGAACAGCTACCTATTCCTTTGAAATACTATTATTCATTTCAGGGAGAAACAAAAACAGCAATTTTCAGTTCCTACTAAATAGTCCAAATAAATATTATCATTCACCCTCAAACAGCATTGAATTTAACACACTTGCTTGTATTTCCCCCTTTCCTCTCTCTCTCTCTCTCTCTCTCTCTCTCTCTCTCTCTCTCTCTCTCTCTCTCTCCTTCTCTTTCTCTCTCCCTCCCTCTTAACTTCTGCCTGTCTGTCTAGATATATCTCATATGATTATTGCTCTTAGTGACTAAGCACTCATGCACAATGTGTACTGATGCACTAGTATGACCCACACTTAATCTTTAACAGGAGAAGAGAGATGGAGAAACCTATTGCTTTTACTCACCAGCCATTCAGGAGATAGTGAGGCTTGAATGGCTCTGATTTGGAAAGCAAAGTTATGCTGTGTTGTTGATGCTCAAACATTCCTCTTGTCCTGCCAGTATTTCTTTGACAATAATTCTGGCTTCAGGGATCTCTCATGTTGCTTTTTCACTGTGAATCCACTATGTCTGAATGATGGTACTTCCCAGATTGTCATCAGCAACAGAGCCACCAGAGCTCTGGCTTTTTTATACCCTACAGGGAAAGTGTGCAGAACTTTTGGTGTTCACACAGTGAACACCTGCATGGAAAGTGTTGCAAAAATATTATGTTAAACTGACTCTGAGATTGGCAGAAGATATGTTTTAATTCATAACTTTTCAAGCCTAGTGATCTGTTTGTAGACCAGGGATGAGTTTGAACCATCTTGCATTCATAGCTTTCTAGGTATAGAAAAGTATAGCATCAAAGGGAATAATAATTTTTTCTGGTAGGAAAAAAAATATTGTCCAAAGAAGATTCTTTAGACAATGATTTATAGACATTCTTCATTAAACGTTTTTCTGTCATTTGAATTCATAATTTTCTTCTAGTATAGATTTTTAAAATAAACCAAGAGTATTTTCCAAAAGTGATCAGTTAGGAGCAAGTAAGGATCTATTAGACTAAGAATTAAGTACCACAAGATCATTTTATGCAGTACAGTGAAAAAAAAATAATTTGGGTATTATTCTTTGAAGAAAAATGTTGAAGTTATTGCTTCAAAGTCAAAAAAAATCCATAAAATAGGGAAGTAGTGGCTTTTTTGACTGATAGAAGGAAAAAGAAAAAAAGTTGTAGTGAAATAGAGACTAAAGAACAAAGGGAAAACATTTCCCTTACAAATATAAGAAATACTTATTTGTCATAGTAAAGCAATATCTTCTTTAGAAACCATGACATTTATGTGTATGAAAATTCTAGGGGGAAAAAGTCATCTTAGGCCTCTACATTCTTTCTCCATTTATTGCAAATGTAAGTATATGATATTAGAGTTGTCTTGGTTGGTGTGCGCCATCACACATTAGTATCCAGAAAGTAATGAATTTAAAATACATTTTTAAGAGTATGACTTTTGGATCAAACCTTCTCCATGAGTAGAGTTCTAGATGTGTAGTAACCAGTAGTGTTTTGCTGTTCACCATACTCCATAAGAATTAGTTAATTGTGGTCACTATTGATCAAGATAGAGAATTAAGGAGAGGATTTTGGGAGAAGCCTATCAAACTAAGTGATATCTGAGAGGAATGGAGCATAAGCAGGTCAAAAAATGCTAAAAGTCATAGCAAGTCTGCTTACATGATGGTGCTTTAACATGGAAACCTTGATATGCTGCAGTTTTTTGCTTTTGTTTTTGTTTTTAGCAAATAAGCACCTATCAGTCTTTATATTATTAACTTTCATTTTCCTGTCTTAGGTATACATTTACCATAGGTCTGCCCTTAATTCTCTAGTTGAGTGGTTGATGACTATCAGCAAACTCAGTTGTAGATTATATTCAAGTCAACAAATTTAATTTTTCTTTACATTGCTTTTCATATTAAATCCATTGAGATAAAATTCCACTGTGTTTTATATCTTTTAAACAACTTATTCATTTCATTCTATTAAACTTTTCCCAACTTAACAATGATTTTAGTTGAAATGAACTTATGAATTATTAAATGGTAACTTTTCACCAAAAATTTCCTAAAACTTGGATCATGATGGGTAATATTGATATCTGTCTTACGATAAAGATTACCTGATTGAGGGACAACTGCTATGACTCACAGATTCCAATCTTAGTCTTCTTACCAACTAGTTGTGGACTTTGTCTCTTAATCTCTCTGAGTCTTGATTTTATTATCAATGAGGGTTCAATGATGTCTAAAGACTTTTTCTATTCTAGTATTCTGTACTCTTGGCTTGTGGACAACTGATAAAAATTAACTATACAGTATATCCTTTACTACTGAAAGGCTTCTAAAAACATATACCGTATACAGTTCAGGGAAATATCTTTAAAAAAAAAAAGGAAAAAAAGCAGCTTAAAATAATGCTGAGTTTGATGTTTATGAGCTGGCAATCTGGCTCATCCAGCATTTATTCTGTTTTTCTGTCTTTGCTCACATTTTCTTTGATGTGGCTTTTCTCTTCACCTCACTTCACAAGATTGATGGTTCTCCATGTTTCCCCTACTAGAGGTCACCTTTGAGCTGAAAGCAAAACCCATCCCACTCTGGCTCCTGATGGCTTTTAAGTCAACTCTCAAAGAATTTGTTCTAGACATCTTCTAACCCCAATTTGAAAACTCCACCCAAAAGATTATAGGGAGGTATCGCGGTGGAGTTGCTATAGTGACTCTGAATTGTTGGTTTTAACTTGTCAAAGCTCCTGGTATAAGTTCTCTTACACTTGATAGGTTTAATTATATAATGTGGTCATGAACCCGTGTACTTGTGTCATTTGGGTTGGTGAAGAAATTTTCCCCTCCAGGCTCTTTTGTCTCTTACAGTGCCAATCAGCAGGCTTCATGGCAATAAGATTTTTTTTTAATGCTAGGAGCTAGAGCATACACCAAGTGGTGCTTATAGTCATGGTATAATCACTACAAAACAAATTAAAAAAGGAAATGTATTTTATGGGCATGATTAAGTCATCCTAATGTACTTGAATATAGAAATTATTTTTTACTTAATGGGTTACTTTGCTCAGATAATATTATTTTTAAGTTGACCCTAGTAATTTTTTTGTTCATATCTGTCTTGGTATATCTCTAATTCATCTTGTTGAGTTATAATTTACTTATTTGATGTTCTATAGTTTTACTAGTCAAATTATGATTTATTGTGCAAACATTTTGCTCAAAGTTTTACAACTTAATTGGTATAAGTAGAAGAAGTCAATGTGTTGATGTGGCAAGAATATTGGCTTTGCAGTCAAAGAATGTGAATTCAAATCCTGGCTCTAGTCACTTGGTACTCATGTGACCTTGGGCAAGCGACTTAACCTTTCTAAACCTCACTTTTCTGTTCTGTAAAATGAGGGGGTTAGACAATATAACCTCAGAGCTCCTTTCTGGTTCAAATTTTATGATCCTCGAAGACATGATTAGACATGTTACATTCCTTATTGTTATGGTACACATTTTGACATCTGTCCAAATAAATCATTTACATTATATTTTGAATTTGTAAATGCAGAATCTCTATGAATAGCAATACTATTTTTTTAAATGCCAGAAATGGAATCTAAATTTTGGACAGTCACATTTTATAGATTTTACCTTTGATTGAGTATTACTTTTATGTTTAAGTATTGAGGGAAATATTTTTCTCTTACCCATTGCATTAATGTGGTTTTAAAGAATTCAGTTTGCCTAAAGTTATTCAACTTTCCTGTCTCTGAAGAAGATAAGAGTATAATGCTACATAGTCAATATGGGGTCAATAAAAATTAATAATTATGATGTCTCTACATGAACATATGCCATAGTTTTGTGTACAACTACACAATATCTTTATAATAGTAATAGAAACTTTCTAAAAACTTCAGTGCTAGTAGTTTTAAATTTACATTATGGCAATATTACTTATTAAATATTTCTGAACTATTTTCTTCTTTTTGTAGCTTTATGTTACTTTAGTAAGAATATTTAAGTTTAATGCCAATTATACAGCTTGCTAGAAATAAATAAGTCCTCTAACTTTCACATTTTCTTTTAATCCCCCTTCAGGTAGCCAAGGGCAGTTTCCACTCACGCAAAATGTTACAGTTGTTGAAGGTGGAACAGCAAATTTGACATGTAGGGTTGATCAAAATGATAACACCTCCCTCCAGTGGTCAAATCCAGCTCAACAGACTCTGTACTTTGACGACAAGAAAGGTGAATATATTTTCTTATAAATATTTTAATCATAATAAATTAATTTTCTTGAGAAGATACAAAGTATTTCTTTTGATTACCAAACTGCTGCTAAGTGTATTTAAACATGTTAAATATTACATACTTTAGTTTGCAAGTCATAAATTCTAAAGTTAACTTGATTTCAACTTTTTAATAAAATAAACACTGCTAATTCTATATTTACTATTTCTCTGACTTTCCTCACCAACCTTTTCATTTATACTTTTTAGTTTCTTTCTTATATATTACTTAAATGCCAAACAAAAATTCTAATTCCCAGGAAATATTTTACCATAATATGCAAATTCTTTCATTAAACTGAAATGACAAAGATATTATATGACTTGAGATGGTTAAATCATTTGATTCTCCTTATTTGGGTCTGGAAAGAAAAATCCCTGTTTGAGGGCTTGCCATGATGAAGTTAATCAATCTCTAACTACCAAGAAGCTCTCAAATTAAGTGGGATGCTGTATTTACTTAAAATTGAGCTGGACTTTATTAATTGCCGTGGTTTTCCTAATTAGATGATACATGGTTTTAACTTTAGACTATTCAGAGAAGCAAATAAAATCACTTTATTTCCCTTTCCGCTGACATAAATTTGGAAAAAGAAAAAGCATTTCTAAATCTCTATGATTTTGACTAGGAAGAACTACAAGATTTCATGAAATACCATGAATTTTCATAGTTAATACTCATTCCAAATATTAAATATGCTGCTGAGGAAAGTGATCATTGACCTTAGTAGCACTTTTCCTTTTAAATTATATTTAACACTGGAGAAACATGATACTGTTTTATAAAATCTGGCCTTAAAATCTTAGTTTCTTTTGAGTCTTTGTAACTGATTTTTAAAAATAAGAATGTAAGACTATAGGTATATTTTTTGACACACAAAATCCCAGTCTTTTTTGAAATTATTATTCCTATTGAAACTTACAATAATGTTTCATAAATTAGCAGTTTCATAACTGTAGACATGATTTTCCTTTTAGGGATAATAGTTGAAATGGAATAGAATTGTTCTATTTATAGCTTATTTAAGCCTTAAGGATGTTATGAGAGTTTGATTAAAGATGCATGATTAAGATTTTTTTTCTTTTTTATATATCATCATTTCTTTCTAACAAGTATATTGGAAGTCACAGACATAGGCTTTAAGTTGAAGAATACTTTAAAATGGTTTGTAAATTAATATAAATGGATATGCATATTTAGTTTAACTAAAAGTATACTACATTAACTTTATTTTAATTTTAATCCAATGTATGAGCTAAGTGGACTTTAGTAATAAACTGAGTATTTTAATGTCAAAATGTACAATTAGTAAGCAAGGGCAATTTTTATTACATACTTGAAATTCTTAGGTGTATACAGTTATAGAGAAACATACTTAAAAAAAAAGGTAATGCCATCTCTAAGGACTTGTTTGAAGTGGGACCTGAATTACAGATGCTTTATGATTTTTAAAATCTCCATCATTGAATTTTAGATCTGAGGTAGCATAATAGAAGTAAAATCCTGCTGCTGCTGTTGTTCATCTTTTGTTTTTGAAGAAGGGGGGAAAATCCTTTTCTTGTGTGTTTCTATTTCTAATGTTTTGTAGATGTTCTGTGACTGAATTGGGTTTGTCATATCCTGGAGATATTTATGTACATTTCAAATGTAATTGGAAAGTGATATTGAAAAAAAAAAAGATAAAAGGTTGCAAAATAATTTGATGGTTTCTGTGGAAGCTTGTTAATGGAACCCCTTCTCTTTTCCACTTCCTTTCTCCCTTTTCTTTCCCTTTTGCCTTCCTCTTATTTTCCCTTTTGCCTTTTCCCTTCCCTTTTCCTTCTTCTTCTCCTTCTTTTAATGCCAGGACCAGGTTCTGACTAATTCTTACAATATTATTCTTCTGGCCAAACTACAAAATGCACAATAAATATTTATTCTATACTTAGATACCTTAGAAACAGCTTATAAAGACAAGACTTTTTTAAAAGTAAAAGTAAAATGGGACTATAGATAACTGTAGTTGTTGCTTTTTCACCTCACTTTGTGAGAATGTATTAAACACCACTGAGATTTCCATGATGTCACATGTAGATTGTTTGGCCTTGATTTATTGCAATGGCTTTAGAGTGACTATACGTATGATACAAATAAAAACTGGAATAAAAAGTGTTATGAAAGGCCTATTGACAAATCCACGTACTAAAAAGCCAAGGGATTTGTTTTGTATGAGACTAGTATTTTTTTTTTCTAACCGATGGAATCCCACAGTGTCCCTAAGAGTGCGTAGCTGCATCTCCTCTAAATTATTTAGATTTCCATGTTGTATGAAAACATGCAGTTTATATCTAGGCCCTTTTATCTTCTCCTTTTATATTATTTCAAATGATTATCTCATCAGTTCCCAAGTATTAAATTATCATTTTTAATTCTATTTTAAAATTTTTAAATCCATTTATCCACCCCTAAACTCTCTGCTGAGCTTGAGGCTCCCACATATTACTGGACATCTCAAAGTCAACATGGTCAAAACTAAACTTATTAGCTGCTCCCCAAAACCCTCCCAACCTCCCAAATTTCCTATTAATGTCATAGACACCACCATCCTCCCAGTCAACCAGGCTGCCAACTGGTGTCATCTTCAATTACTCAGTGTTTCTAACCTTCTATATCCAATCTGTCACCAAGTCCTGTCAATTTTCTTTCATCATATCTCTCACTCCCTCTCTGGTTCAGGCCCTTTTTACCTCATGCCTGGACAACTGCTGTTTGGTCTCCATTCCACAATTCTCTCTCTATTCTAATCAATTCTCTCAGCTGCCAAAATGATCTTAACAAACTACAGTTCTGACCCTATCTCCCTCTACTCAAAAAACACCAGTGACTCAATATCACCTTCAGGATCAAATATGTAATGCTCTCTCTGACATTCTAAGCCCTTCATAACTTGCACTCTTCCCTACCTTACCAGTCTTCTTCTCCTTATGCCATTCTCACACCCAAATATTCTACAATCCAATGACACTGACCTCTTTAATTTTCATTAAACAAGATACTCCATCTCCTGACTCCAGGCATTTTCTTCGGTTTTCCCTATGCCTGAAATACTCTTCCTTCTGAATTCTACCTCCTGGTTTCCTGGTCTTGGCTAAGATGTCATCTTCTATAGGAAGCCTGACCCAATTCCTTTTAATTCTAGTGCCTTCCTTCTATTGATTATTTCCATTTTATCTTGTATACAGCTTGTTTGCATATTGTCTCTTGCCTTAGACTGTGAGCTACTTGAGAGCAGAGACTATCTTTTTCATTTTCTTATATCCCCAGGGTTTAGCACAGTACCTGGCAAACAGTAGGCACTTAATAAATATATTTTGATTGACTGACTTCAAATCTCCCCCCACCCTGATTTTTTTTTCCTTGATCAAACTCTTTCTGCAAAGTACCTAGGTTTATTGTTCATTGTGCATCATGGAGAAAAAAGAGTCTAAAAGGCAGAAAAGTTGAACAGATCATCAGTAGTTGTGAGATGGGGAGAGAAGGTGACATATCCATTGTCATCTATCACCCAACTTTCACCTGTGGCTCTAAAAAGCAGTATCATGCACAGCAGCCACACTCCAGTAAAATCATTTTGGCAGATGGGCTAAACCAGATTGAAGGTAACCAACAGGCTTCAAACCCATTGATGAGTTAGAGGGATGTCAATCCCAAGCACATGAAGACTTCCCTGGTAGAAAGGGCAGATGAAAACAATTTGTTCCAACATCCATGAAGGCAGCTGAAGCAGGCATTGTGGAGTACTTAGAGTTTGGTCAGATATCAAAGATGCCAAGGTCATCTGCTGAATTCTGGGCCATTACAGTCTTCTTGACTTTTGTCCTGCCACTGGACTTTGATGACTCTGGGAGAGAATGTGAGGCTGATAACTTTGTGCAACTCTGTTTCACTTAAATCCAATTCATGCACAAATCAAGTCATCATCCATCATCCATTATTTGACCCAACATGGTGATGTCATTGGTCCTCTCTGAAAAGGAAGGACAAACAACAACAACAACAATAACCCATAGTCTCTCAGATAATAAATGGTAGAATCTGGGACTCCACACATGTCTTTTTACTACAGCTAAGTCTCAAATAGTGCAAATAATGAATCTTCTGAAGTGGTCACATGTATTTGAATTTGCACAATTCAAAGCTATTATTCTGTAAAATTTGGTAATTGGTTCCAACCCAATGGAGATATACAGTGTGAGAATTCAATCATTTCAGAGGATTCATTATTTATGTTAATCAGGTTCTCACTATACAATGCAGTAGATTCTTCACTTAAAACACTCTGGCCTTATATTTCAGTGGCATAGAGCAATAGTACATGGAGGAGAAAAAAGGAGTCCCTGAGATTGTTAACTGTTGCTACTGCCCTTAGAAGCCAAAAGAGTATTTTCAACCCCCTTATAGTTAACCTGGGATTGTAATTGATAAAGAATTATAGTAACGTTATATTTCAAGAGTCCAGGAAGACCTCTTGCAAAAGAAGTAGTCTTGGGGAGAGCACTGATTGGAGATTCCTAGAAGAATCTTATTAATTCAGTTGAATCCTTGTTATTGGATAAAGTGGAATTGAACTGAACAACCATGTCTTGGATGGAGACTGACAGAAGAAATTTTAAAATTTCTAGGAATTTTAGGAATTGCATTCTGATAGGTACCTAATGATATACTTTCTAGAGAGAAATTAATTACAATATATGATAATGCTCCTTAGTAGAATAAAACAAAAGTGGTGGATAGGAATGCATGTTTTCTAGTAGATACATTGTACCTCTCTCCTACTCTAAAGTTCTGCCCTATGGGCCCTAATCATTCTGTCTTTTAGCTTGACTTTTCTTTGTCCTAAACTACATATGTGCTCTCTATGTTGTTTTTCATTCTGGTAATAATGTTGTAGTAGGCTTTCGATATTATCTGACAACCCA